CATACTAGCAAGTGGTCTTTGTTCACTCCCATTTTCTCAGCCACACACACAGAGCAGGGCCCAAGCATAGCCACAAGGACGACACATGTCCAACCACACCCAGCAACAGTTGTGTTTCCTCAGGCACCCGCCCAGGAAACCCACATCCCAGGCCCGACAGAATTCTATCCAATCAGAGTTCACCCATCAGGTTATCCACCAGACACGCAATGTCATGATCACAGCTGTACACACTTGTCCCACACAGCTCCATGGCCACACAATAACATCTGGATGCCTGACAGACAGGTGTTTGGTTTCATAAAACTCTCTCACACACATACAGCCTTCCAACCCAACCCTGGGCAGTCACACCAGCATACTTTTTTTTGGGGGGGGGTCAGTCATAGGGCTTGAACTCAGGATGTGGGTTCTGTCCCGAAGCTTTTCTGCTCAAGGCTAGCCTCTATCACTTGAGCCACAATGCCATTTCCAGTTTGGAGGTGGTTAATTGGAGATAAGAGTCTAATGGGGCTGGGCACTGGTGGCTCACACCTCTAATCCTAGCTACTCAGGAGGCTGAGATCTGAAGATTGCGGTTCAAAGCCAGCCCGGGCAAGAAAGTCTATGAAACTCTTATCTCCAATAAACCACCAGAAAACTGGAAGTGGTGCTGTGGCTCAAGTGGTAGAGGGCTAGCCTGAGCTGAAGACTGAGGGACAGCACCCAGGCCCAGAGTTCAAGTCCCATGACTGACAAAAAAAAAAAAAAAGAGTATAATGGAGGGGCTGAGAAGGTGGCTCAGTGGTAGAGCGCTTGCCTTGCATGCATAAGGCCCTGGGTTCGATTTCTCAACACCACATAAGCAGAAAAAGCTGGAAGTGGCGCTGTGGCTCAAGTGGTAGAGAGCTAGTCTTGAGCTGAAGAGCTGAGGGACAGCACCCAGGCCCAGAGTTCAGGCCCCATGACCAACAAAAAAAAGAGCTTAATGGACTTCCTGCCGGGCTGGCTTCGAACTTAGATCTCAGCTTCTTAGGATCATAGGCATGAGCCACTAGCACCTGGCCACCAGCACACCTTTTATGAGATAGGAAAACTTAGCTAAGTGCTCACATTTGGTCTCACTATCATTCACATGACAAATCACTCTTACATGACACTTCTTTCTACACACAAGCCACATGCTGTACTAATGGCCGTAGCCTATCATTACAGAGACAGGCAGCTACACGAAAGACACAGCATACAACCCAGACACAAACATCCCTAAGAAAGGCCACTCTCACATAACCAACACATTCCAGAAAGGGTCCTGTGCACATATACACACAGCATCAGTGTCCACAATACCCAGACTTCCGCCATGGTCAGTGTGCCTACAATGTTCTCCTAGGTTACCCTCTTACACAGAGACACAGCCTCTTCTGGTAATGCACAAGTCATGTGTCATTACAGCTTCACATGGACAGGTGGAAAGTCACAGCCCCACCTACACACTTAATAGGGCCATTAGCACACAGCTCAATTGCCCATAACACAAGTACACAGTTGGGTGTGTGTACAGAAGAAACTATGTAGATCTGGGCACTGGTGGCTCATGCCTGTAATCCTAGCTACTCAAGAGGTTGAGATCTGAGGATGGTGGTTTCAAAGCCAGACTGTACAGGAAAGTCTGTGAGACTCTTACTTCCAATTAACCACCAGAAAACTGGAAGTAACCTTGTGGTTCAAAGTAGTAGAGTGCTTGCCTTGAGCAAAAGAACTCAGCGACAGCCTCCAGGCCCCGATTTCAAGCCCTATAACCAATTGAAAACAAAAACAAAACAAAACAAAAGGGTGCTGGTGGCTCATGCCTGCAATCCTAGCTACTCAGGAGGCTGAGATCTGAGGATCATGGTTCAAAGCCAGCCTGGGGAGACTCTTATCTCCAATAAACCACCAGAAAACTGAAAGTGGCGCTGTGGCTCAAGTGGTAGGGCTCTCGCCTTGAGCTGAAGAGCTGAGGGACAGCGCCCAGGCCCAGAGTTCAGGCCCCACGACCAACAAGAAAAAAAAAAAAAAAGAGCGAAAAGAAAAGGAAAAGGAAGAGAAAGAGGAGGAGGAAAAGGAGGAAGAGGAAGAGGAGGAGGAACAGGACGAAGAGGAAGGCGAAAGAGAAGAAACGAGGTAGGCCACGCGTGGCATTTGTAACTTGTTTTACACGGTCCTAGACAGAGTTATTTGCAGTGTCATGGGCAGTCACCACCTCACCAAATCTCAGAGATTCAAACTCAGGTAATCCAGCACATGTATGAGCATGCTCACATACACACAGAGCTACATTTTGCAGACATGCACATTCCCACAGATCAGGACACACACACACACACACACACAGAGCCATTCAGGTTACACCAGGACATAGCAGGTCACATACCCCAAACACACACCCCAAGTCCCTGAGCCAGCTCACAAACAATATCAGAGCTTGAGCCATACTTGATTAAATAAATACATAACCCAAATCACACATAGGAGACTGTAAGTACACACGCAGCTACAAGCAGAGTCATTTACACACACACACAGCCTCCATCACATAGGCACGATGTGACTTCGGATATGATGGCAGCCACACACCCAGACTTACACAGACAACAGTGTGTCACACACACAGAAATACAACATTTTCAAGTCACCAGGAGAGTCACACATGAAACAAGGCCTCACAGACAGAACTCCACTGAACACACACAATCACCCACATCGTTGTTACACACCAAGGCACACAAAACACAGGGCCACAAGACACAACCACACAACCACAACCATGCTCTCACCCAAACACAGACTCACAAGTAGAGGGTTCTGTACAGGGAGCAGCTGTCATTCACAAATACTAGGATCACCACAAACACCCCCTACCACCACCACAACATGCACACATACTAAGCAGGATTCCTCACAGTCACCAGCTTTAGTACACACACACACACACACACACACATATACACAAACATGGGGTCACATTCCTAGTCATGTATGTCCCCATCCCTTGTTCCCTGCCCTCCCACCCTTCAGGTACCATATACAAAGCTGCTGGTCACTGAAGCAGCTCTGCATGGGGTCTCTGGGGAGTGGCCCCCAGCCCAGCCTGTATCCTGGAGCCTGGGAGGCTAGGTCTGGGAGGAGGGGGGCGGCTGTGTACCGTCTGTGGGTGGGGCCTTTCGGACAGCTGGGCAGCCCTAGGGACAAAGAGGGTGGCCTAGGAGACCTGTGCCCTGAGACCCTTGACCAAGCGTGGGGGTGGGGGTTGTCTGAATCCTCTGTGTTTGACTCCAGTGGAGATGGAATAAGGTGGAGTTCCAGGCACGGCGGGGGGGGGGGCACCTTGTTTTGAGGAGGGGATGTGCCTGGGACCCGCCCAAGGACTAGGGTAGGGGTGGGAAGACTGTTCTGGGTGCCTCCTTCTAAGGCCTGGGCGAAGACTGCTTGGAATCTGACATGTCTCCCAACCCCCATCCTCGGCTTGGTGGTTAAGTGGTACCCAGGCCCCCCACCCCAAGACCTTGTCTTTGAGGTTTGTGCTCACATTCCCCCTCAGGCTAGGAAAGATGAGGATTGTCTGGAATCGCTTCAGAGGCCATGGTTTTGATATTGGGGAGGGGGGAGGGGGTTGCGTCCCAGACCCTATCCCCAAAACCTTGCTTAGGGAGTTGTCCCTAGAATTTCTGGACCTCTGTCCTCGGTCGGGGGGGGGTCTCTTATGTCTAAGATCCCTCTTTCCAGGGTCTTGGCCCGTGCCGGAACCGACTCCCCCCTACCCCCGTCTCCCCGTTTTTGGCTGGGGGGGGAGCCTGTTCCTGGGTCCCCAGCCAGGACCCCCCTCTCCAGTGTTGGCATCTCCCCTCCATCCGGGCGCCGCGGCCGCCTCCCACCCTCCGCCACATCAGCGACACCGCCCCCGACCCGAGCCCCCCTCCCTCCCTCCCTCCCACCCTTCTCACGCTGGCCGCCGCGCTGCGGGACATCCAGGGCCCCGGCGCCCCCGCCTCCCGCGGCCCCGGCTGGGCCTGGCTTCCCGAGTGGCTGCGGCTGCTGTGGCGGCGGCGGCTCGGTGTGACGCGGACCGGGCCCGGGGCCGGAGGCTGGTGCGGGATGCACGCGCGCGAGCCAGCTCGGCTCCCCGGAGGGTTCCGCTGCGGGGGCGGGGGAGCGTCCCTCCCGCCTCGGCGCCCCGCCCCTCCACGCCCATTGGCTCGCCGCCGGCGGCACACGCAAAGGGCCCCGCCTCGTATGCAAATACAACCCCGCCCTCCTGGCGGACACCGCCCCGCCCCGCCCCCCTGGTCTGGTGGGGCTCCGCGGGCCGGGGGAAGCCGGCTGGGTTCTCCAGCCCCTCCCCCGTCCTCGGGGCTGTCAAGTGTGGGGGTCCCCCTCGCCTTCTGTCACCCCTGACCTCAGATTCCCCCCCCCCACAGTGCCGCGTCCAGAAGAACCGCTCTGGGAGGCGCCGTGCGGCCGACTGTCCTCAAATCTTCCCGTAACCCCGGGCTCTCCCGGCCTGGCGGGGGCGGGCAGAAACGGTGACGAGGCGCTTTTCACCCTGAAGCGGGGGACGGACCCCTGCGTCTGGGAGGGCGGGGTGCGCCAGGCTCGAGCCCGGGGGAGGTCCGGGACGGGGGGGGGGGCTGGCCCGCTGCCCCTACTCCCACCCCCACCCCTCATCCTGTGGGTTTGGCCAAGCAGCTGGCGAGGGCATCTGAGCCCATTAGCAAAGGCGAGGTTGCTGGGAGTAAGAAGGGACCAGGGGCCGGGAGGCCAGAGGCGGTGTGTGGGGGTGATGGGGGGCGCTCCTCAGCTGCCACAGCCCTTCGAGCAGGTGGTCAGCACATGAGGGGGGGGCAACAGATGGCCCAGGCAGGGCTTTTAGACAAGGGGGCTTGGGGTGGGGGCTGACCATCTGCACCTGGAGGCCTCCCGAGAGCTCCTCCCCGTTCAGTGCAGAGAAAAAGAGCTGGGGGAAGGAAGGGGAGGGGCGCCTTTATTCGGAGGGAAGGTGCAGACCCCCATCCCACCCCCCCAATACACAGGCTGGAGCCCGGGGAGCGGGCAGCTGGAGGAGTTTGGGAGGTTAAGGTAAGGGGCGCCTCTGCCAACCCCTATCTTCCCTTTTCACGCCGGATGGTGGGAGAGCTGAAGGCATGCAGGGGGACGCAGGGCTCCCTCAGATGGTGGCAGAAATCCGTTAACTGGCTCCCTGGCTTGGAGTTCCCGGATGCCAACTTTGGAGTGGGAGGAGCTAATCTGGGTGCTCTCTAGCCCCCAAAGTTCCTGAGCTCCAGGGTTAAGAGGGGTGTGTATTTCCGGGGGGAGGGGTGCTCTTTGACCAGGACAAAGGGGGAAGGGAGAAGAGCCGTAGCAGTGGGTGACCCCCACTATGGTGCTGTTCCCCAGCATGGAAGCTGTCATAGATCCCAAGAGAGGTCTGCTCTGGTCAGGAAGTTGGGGCCAATGGCTGTGCGTGGTGCCTGGCCCAGTAGCGGTGGTAGATGTCATGGAAGAGGTCCCTGCAGGCTACGTGGGCTTGGAGGCGGGAGCAGGCCAGGAAGGCCCCTGCCAGCTTGCGGTGGAGGGCGTAGGTTTCTTCCGGTGGCGGGCGCAGCCGGTGCTGCAGGAGCACAGGGATGAGGCCCTGGATCCGGCGTGCTGTGTCACCTGCCCCAAAATTGTAGGGGCCAGGGGCAGCAAAGGGCTCTCCCAGGATCATCACTGCTTCCACATGGGCATTGGAGAATGTCTAGGGGTGGGGACAGATGTGCGCAGAGGGACATGAGAGCCCCACACTTTGGGAGGCAAGAGAGACCTCAGCAATCTGGAGTCTCCAGTGCAAATGCAAGCCCCCCACTTCCCTAAGAGCATGCCCTAAGTACATAGTAGCCTGAACCTACTCCAAAATAACCGTGCTTCCTCAGGACTTCTTACAGACAAGGAGTCCTCCACTCCTGACCCCCAGAATCAACCCCTGCACCCCACTTAGAAAGGCAAGTAGTGCCTATTTTCCAAGGTTTTGTGTGTGCATGCACATGCAGTTCCTGGGACTTGAACTCAGGGCCTGAGTGTTATTCTTGAGCTTTTTTGCTCAAGGCTGGTGCTTTACCACTTGAGCCACACCCTCACTTCTGGCTTTTTGTGGCTAATTGAGGCAAGAGTCTTACAGACTTTTCTGTACTGCCTGGCTTTAAACCACGATCCTCAGATCTCAGACTCCTAAGTAGTTAGGATTACAGGTGTGAGCCACCAGTGTCTGGCCCAGTGGTTCTTTTATAGTCAGACAGCTGTTGTGGATGCCTCCCCAGGCCCACTTCACCAGGGTAGAAATATACCTTCCATATTCCCTAGTAGACAGGGGGCTCCCAACTGCTGCTCCCCATAGACCCCAGTGACCTCCACCCACCCAACCACTATTCCCTAGTGTCTCCCAACCTTGGTTTCAAAGCCTGTGAGGAATTTTAAGTCCCGGGATTTCTGCAGGACACGGTCTCTGTCTCCATCAGCTGCAGCCTTCACCACCTGGATAGATGGGTGTTGGGGAGTCAAAGGCCAGTGAAGAAGCCAAGGAAGGTTCTAGATCAAAGGAAACACCTGAACTCTGGCACCACTTGTAATGCAGCATAGGGGAGGCAAAGATGAAAGAGAGTTCCAGGCCAGCCTTGAACAGTGAAACTGCTGTTTACAGGAGTCTGGCAGGTGCACGGGTCCATACACAACCCAACAAGGATGGGACACTGGGGTCCCAATTGGGTTCAGTTACCCAGGGCATAGGGCCCGGGCACTCAGGATGCCCTGGGCACACCTGGCCTCAGCAAAGCAGCGGGTGTAGAGCTGAGCCCCTCTCCAGCCTGGAGGAGGGAGGCTGGCTCTGAGATCGGAGGCCAGGCAAGCCACCCACCTGGTGAGCCTCTGCTTTCCCAAGGAGAAGCCTGGATCAGGAGTGTTCTGGTCCTGGGGTGGTTGTGGACACACTCAACACAGGCTTGTGTGCAAGGAAGCACTGTGGACAACCCAAGCTGTTCCTCTTATTATGGGATGTGAAGAAACGGGCTCAGTGTGGAACTGGGTCCCCACTGTGTGGTCCTTTCTTGAGGGGCGGGGGAGTCCAGGATGAATCTGGCATTCTACTCCATTTCAGCAGTCCCCACCTCCCCCCAACCTGTGCCTGTCTGGCCATCTGTTAGGCCTTGGTCCCTGGGGGCCCATGTGACTGGGCAGTTTTAAACTCAAAAAAGCTACAGAGGCCTGGGAGGTTGTTGATGGGTGGCTCTGACTTTGTGTGGCCTGCAGAAGAGATCCAAAGGACCATGGGGGGGGGGGGGGGAAGATGACAGGGAAGAAAGCTCTCCCCCGCAGCTTCCAGTTTATTCACTCCCATGGACTGCCACTAGGCATCCCAGTGCCACCCAGCAGGCTCCTGTGCCCATCTCCACAGCCTCCCGGCTCCAGACCCCTAGTTTCAGAGGGAGTTTCTTTTCTTCCTTTCAGTCCTTCTTTCCTCCCCCCCCCCAATACTGTCCTGAGGATTGAATTCAGAGCCTCATACTTGCTAAGCAGGTACTCTACAATTTCAATCACACAATCAGCCTTTTTTTTTCCCCCCTACAGTTATTCAGATAAAGTCTCTGGCTATTGCCTAGGGCTGGCCTTAAATCCCATCTTCCTACCTCAGCCTCCAGCACAGCTGGGATTACAGGCTTGGGTCACCTCCCCTGGCCAAGACTGTATCTTTCCAAATCCTCTGGGTAGCTTCCTAGAACTCCAGATAAAGTACTGACCTCTGGGGCCCAAAATGATTTGGCTATGTGGGCAGCTGCCTGGCCAGTGAAAACAGCATCAGGTAGGATCAACACCGGCCCCACCCGGATGGCCTGTGGGAGGCTCAGCGTCTTAAGTCTAGCTTCCGACTAGAACCTGCATTTCATAGTATCAACAGCATCCATACACACAGAAAAGTCTGGAAGAGCTTTGACCTCTGCACATATTGTTAGCTGGAATCCCCTTCTAGCCTCCTCCTGATTGCTCCTCTGCACCTTTCCTGGCTGCTCCTCCAGGAAACCTTCCACCACGCCCCAGGGTAGTTTCCTGTTGTCTCCTAACCCCGCATTTGATCTCTCTGCCCTCTACTGCCTGTGAGCCCCACCACAGATGAGCTCTGTGAAGGTAGGCCTGAGTGGGCCCTAGGTCCCTGGTGTGTCCTTAGTAGCATCAGGACAGAGCTGGACACAGATGGTTTCACCTAGATGATTAGAAGACTAGATGAATGTCCAACCTTTAGATACTCACCAGACAGTGTTTTCTGAGGCCTCTGGGACCAACTGACCCTGATGGGTGTGTGTGTGTGTGTGTGTGTGTGTGTGTGTGTGTGTGTATGACAGAGTAGGTGAGGAAGTGCTTCCTGAGGCCAGAGCAACCTGTAGGCAGAGGCTGGACACAGGCACGGACAAGGTGGACATCACAGGCTCTCACGGCAAGGGCTGGGATGGGGACTCTGGACCCAGACTCCTGAAGCGCGCCTCCCAGGCCTGCAGGGATGTGAGACACCCCCTCTCCAGGCCCAGCAGCCTTACCTGTAAATGACCCCGAGGAGCTGCTGTGCACACAGCCTCACCACAGGGCCTGGCATACTATGAAGTGCTTGATATTTATGAGCTGCTTTTTTTTTTCTTGCCAGTCCTGGGGCTTGCACTCAGGGCCTGGGCACTGTCTCTGAACTTTTGCTCAAGGCTAGCGCTCTACCATGTGAGTCACGGCGCCACTTCCACATTGCAGGACTTACCTCGATGTAATGATCTGTGAACTCGGTCCCAAATTCCCGGCTTGCACCAAAGTCCAGCAGGGTCACCTGGGAACAAGGATGTAGGGTAAGAAGAATGTGGGGGGACCCATTCACATGTGCCTCCCGCCCCCCTCCGCCCCGCCACTGTCTACCAGAGCAGCAAGTACCCAGCTCTCTCTCTTCATTCCTTACCGTTGCTCTAGCCACAGTCCCCACCTGGCTACTGGAAACCTCCAGTTTCAACACTTCCCAGTCACCCCAGCATGGCAGCTGAAGGGGTCTGGCTTTCATTTTCTTTCAGTCCTGCTTAGTTTTCATTCATTCATTACAGTGAGGTCTAGCTATGTATGTAGTAGCTCAGGCTGGCCTTGGACTCATGATCCTTCTGCCTCAGACTCTCAAGTGCTGGGATTACTGATGCACACTATCATATCCAGCCCTATTTTCTTTTATTATCTACTTTAGGCCCAGAAAAATCCAGAGAATAAGATATATAGAAAAGCAAATGAACACAAATCCTACCACCCAGCTGGAAATATAAAATACTACCCAAATAGGTAGAATCTTCTTGTACTCCACCTGGGGTCCCCATATCTTTGGGTGTTTTGTTTTGTTTTAGGGTCATTACTTTCCTGAAACTATTATTACAAATTACTTCTTAAAGTTCTCAGGCAGGGCTGGGAAGGTGGCTCAGTGGTACAGTGCTTGCCTCACATGCAAGAGGCCCTGGGTTTGATTCCTCAGCACCACATAAACAGAAAAAGTCGGAAGTGGCGCTGTGGCTCAAATGGTAGAGTGGTAGCCTTGAGCTGAAGAGCTGAGGGACAGAGCCCAGGCCTAGAGTTCAAGCCCCATGACTGACTGACAAAAAAAAAAGTTCGGAAGTGGTGCTGTAGATCAAGTGGTAGAGTGCCAGCCTTGAGCTGAAGAGCTGAGGGACCGCGCTCAGGCTGAGTTCAAGCCCCACTACCGACAAAAAAATAAATAAAGTTCTCATTCATGTGTTTCTATGTATCACCTCCTGGAGTTAGAGAAACACTCCCCAGGGAATGCCCAACCTGACCTCCTGGGTACCCAACCCAGGGCAGGCTGGGGCAGGCACATCTCCTAGGGTCCCACAGCCTCCCATATCCTCCCCCATCTCAGTGCCCTGAGTTTCTGCATCCAGGTACCAAGCAGATCATCACTGAAGGAAATGACATGACATCATTATGGCCAAAGCAGTTAGACAGGAGTCACCCTCTCCAGCTTTCTTCCCAACCATCACTGCAGGGAAAAGGGCCAGCCAGCCTGATGTGTGTATAGTAAGGCACTCCTGTAGTGAGCTACTGAAATACTGGGGACTATTTGTTACAGCAGCAACTGTACCCTAGCTCCCATTACAAGGAACCAACCTGGTGGCTGGAGGCATCGTACAGGAAATTGGCCCAGTTGGGGTCGGTCTGCATGAATCTGAACTCAAACAGTTCCCGCAGACACAGCCTCAGGAGCTGGAAACAAATCTGGGCAGGGAGAAGTCATCTCAATGCTGTGCCCCTGCAGAGCCCCCTGGCTTGGCCAGGGAGCCTGGGCCCAGCTGGGCTCTCCCTGTTGTCCCACAAAGCACTGTACCTGGTTCCGGATGTCCTGGCTCAGGCCCTGGCACTGATCCAGAGGGACACCTCCAGCCAGCTCCATGGCCAGCACCCGCCTGGTGCACAGCTCCTTCACCACAGCTGGCACCCGGAAGAAGGGGTCATCTGTCAACAGCTGCCTGGGGCAGGAGGAAGCAGAGTAAGTGGGACATCATGCTTTAGACCTGAGGGTAGGTCTGAGTTGGCCTTCTTTTCTGACAAACCCTTCAGGAAGTCCTCTTCCTCTGGGTGATAGCTGACGTTGAACCAGTACCTCTGCACTTCCCACTGTGCTTTATTTACCCTTCAACTCAGTGTTGCTGGAGACCCAGCGACTACTTCCTATCAGAAGGATTATAGATGTGAGAGCTTGAACTCTGGGCCTGCGTGCTGTCCCTCAGCTTCTCAGCTCAAGGATAGGGCTCTACCCACAGCATTACTTCTGGATTTTTCTGTTTATGTGGTGCTGAGGAATCAAACCCAGGGCCTCTTGCATGCGAAGCAAGCACTCTACCACTGAGCCACCTTCCCAGCCCAATCCTTCAGGTCTTCTGAATAGGGTGATAAAATCCCAATTCTATCACTCCTGTGCAGAGGATGTGCTGTGTATATGCTACCTGCACATTAGTCACTCAGTAGCCAGCTCAGCTTTCAGTCTGACTCTCATCTCATGGTTTTCCACTACCAGAGGCTGGAGGGGCAGCCTGGGTGGAGGGGGCACCCCCTATTCCGAGGCCTGTGGGAAGTCAGCTCACCGGAAGTTCTGGGCACACGCCGCCTCCCGACGGTAGTCGCACTCCCAGGCCAGCTCCTGCTGCAGGCTCTGCAGGCTCTGTTCAGCAAACAAGCCTGGGGGATGGCATCCAGGTCAGCCGGGGATAGCCACAGCCTGTCCCCTTGCTCCCGACACACAGCCCAGTCTGCCTCTCTCACACCTATGTTGCCACCATCCTGCCCACACCTGGGGCTCTTTGGAAGTCTGTGGATTGGACTGTCGGTCATATGCACCCTGGATCCGAGCCGTCACAGACATACAACTTGACTTCCTCCCTGCCTCTGGTTCATGCTCTTGTCTTGCTTCTGGCTCTCATCTTGCTTCTGGGCCTGTCTCTGTCTGGCTTTCTGCTGGCTTCCGTAAAGTACAGCCTGCTCCATCTTCCACAGGCATGTCTTCCATGCCTGGAGACAAATGCGCTGCACCTCACCCTGAGCCCCTACTCTGCTTGCTTGGCTGCGTGGAACCTGCAGTTCCTTTTCCTGAACTGTGCATGCTCAGTGTCTGTTTCTGCGTGCAGTCTCTGGACTGTCATGTGCCCTCTTCTCACTCTCTGATCAGCATGTATTCTGTGTCACACAGGTGCACACACGCATACCTGCAGGCATATCCAGCCTTCCCTGCCCAGAAACCTGCTTCCTTTCCTCAGGTACCCCTACTTGGCTGGGGACAGAGTGGGCACCTCACCCTCGGGCAGGGCTGTGCTCATCTTCAGCACAGCCAGCAGGTTCTGCACGTCACTCTGGATGCTCTGGGCGACACCAGGGTACTGCAGGATAGGGGGGGCAACTGAGCGTCACATCTCTGGAACAGCAGGGTGCCTGCTCCCCCACCCTGCAATCCAGCCTCACCACTCACCTGAATCTTCACAGCCACTTCTGTCCCATTCCTCAGCATACCCTGGTGCACCTGCCCGATTGAGGCAGCGGCAAACGGCACCTCCTCCAGGAAGGCCACCTTGGTCTGCCAGTCCCTGCCCAGCTCTTCTTCTAGAACTCTCTGGGGGGAGAGGGAGGAAAGTGGTCATGACAGTCACCATCATGGTCATAGCCTGCTGAGTTATTTCCAGTGAGCTGAGCTAGCCCATCAGTAACCCTGACTGCTATCCTACTTCACAGATGGAGAAACTGAGGCTCAGGAATTAAGTGCCTTGCCAAGGTGACCAGGCAGGCACTGCCAGATGGGGTGCTGAGCCCAAATCTCTATTTCTTTTTTTTTTTTCGCCAAATCTGTATTTCTTCCTTGCCTGTGCAAGTCTTGTGGAGACTGCTTGATAACTATGATTTTTGGGGATGGTACCAGTACTAGGGTTTGAACAGGGCCTATGAGCTGTCCCCCAGCCCTTTTGTGTATGTGTGTGTGGGGGGGGCACTGTCCTTGAGCTTCTTTTCAACCCAAGGCTAGTGGCTTAACCACTTAAGCCACAGCTCCACTTCTGTGTTTTTGGTAGTTTATTGGAGATCAGAGTCTCACAGACTTTCCAGCCCGGGCTGGTTTCTAACTACAAATCTCAGATCTCAGTCTCCTGAGTAGGTAGGATTACGGGCACATGCAACTGGCACTCAGCTGTACTTTGTTTTTTGAGATAGGTTGCCCTGAGTTTATCTGGCCTAGATCTCACGATCCTCCTGCTGACCCTTCACATAGGGTGGCAGAGGCAGTTCTAGGTTCTTCATTATAAATTACCTAATGATTTATTTCACCCTAGGAAATGTGTGTGTGACTACTATTCTATTTCTCAGATGAGGAGACTGAGGCCCAGAGAGGTCCAGGCAGGTGTGTGGGAAAGAGACAATGACAGGTAGCGGAACCCTAGCTCTTGCTGCCTGGCTAGAGCACTGAGTGACATCTAGGACTAAACAAAGCACCCATCTTTTTTTTTTTTTTCTTCCAGTTCTGGGGCTTGAACTGAGGGCCTGGGCACTGTTCCTGAGCTTCTCTTGCTCAAGACTAGCACTCTACCACTTGAGTCACAGCGCCACTTCTGGCTTTTTCTGTTTATATGGTATAAGGAAGCAAACCCAGAGCTTCCTGCATTCTAGGTAAGCACTCTACCACTAAGTCACATTCCCAGCCCATTGTGCCCTCATTTAGCCACAGTAATGCCACTTGGAAATTCTCATTTTACAGCTGAAGAAACTGAGACTGCCAGTCAGGCAATGAAGTATGTATGAAGTATGTGGGGGGGGGGGCGGAGAGGGGAGGACAACCGTAGGTATGGAGCAGACTCACCAGCATCTGCCATCGGGGCATGAAGTCGGCGCTCTGGCGGACCCGCTCGAAGATGTGTTGTAGTTGGGGGCTGATGAGACTGTTGTCTTAGGAGACAGTGGGGCAGGGGAACGGTGAGGGAGGAGGCAAGGTGGGGGGGAGGGCATGGGGAGGATCTGAAACCAGTTTGTTGGTGGGTGAGGTCAAGGGTCAGGGTTCAAGGATCATGCAATACCCTGGATGCTGAGCATTTGGCCAACCTTGAGGGCGGCCCCCCGAACTGTACACAAGGTCTGCACAATCCGCTCCGCATTGGCCTCGGACAGGAAAGGGTTGGAGCCAGGCCTAGAGCCGTCCTCTGGGGAGGAGAGGATAACCATTAGCATTACAACCAGGATGGCTCAAACCAGAAAGGCAATACCAAGTGCTGGCACAGACAGGGGTGTATGCTGGCACACACCCTTTGGGAGGGTTCCAGAAAAGCACTTGCCTTTTTTTTTGTATGGAGCTTGAACTCTGGCCTGGGCGCTGTCCCTCAGCTCTTCAGTTCAAGGCTAGCATTCTATCACTTGAGCCACAGTGCCACTTACAGTTTTCTGGTAGTTTTTATTGGAGCTAAGAGTCTCAAGGACTTTCTTGCCTGGGCTGGCTTTGACTCATGATCTTAGCCTCCTGAGTAGCTAGGATTATAGGTGTTAACCACAGGCACCTGGCAGCACACACTTTTTTTTTTTTTTTTGGGTCCGGTCATGGGGCCTGAACTCTGGGCCTGGGTGCTGTCCCTCAGCTCTTCAGCTCAAGGCTAGTGCTCTACCACTTGAGCCACAGTGC